GCTCTGAAACTGTATTCAGAAAACTCTGAATACCTAACTCCTAGTTTATTAAATACAGTAGGGGCTTTAAAGAATTTACTCAACCCCTCTCTTTACGAGATATCACACCGAGGTCAATCAGGACTTCAAAAATTTTATGGGAATGCTTTCCTAACCTCTTCATTCCTAATCTTTACATTTAAGGCAAATTCCCCCATTGTCAAAATCAAAGGGTTTTAAAAAATCAGTCTTTGCTTTCTGCTTATAAATTACACGGAGAGATAGTTACATAATGGCATGATTAATGCCCCAGGCTTAAGAACTACAAAATTACATGTAAGTTCTCTACTTGCCATCTCCCCTACATATTGATGGACAAATTTTCCTAAATCACATTTACTGTGTAATTTGCCTATTACAAAAAGAGAAGGAAAAAAAGGAATCCCGGCGTCTAATGGCAACACAACTCCAACTGAGCCATTCAGATGCCCTTCCCTGGTCACTCACATATCCTTACCCAGCTCTATCTCCTTACTTTTGCTAATTTCATCCCATTCTCACTTCCATTGCACATACACAGGGAATATACACCGCCTGTCCCCCCACCTCAATCGCACCCCAGCTGGCTGCCCTGCAAGGCTCTGAAGCTCTGAGCATTCTAGACCACGACAGGATTTTATCTTCTAAGAAATATGGTCCATCTGGCCACGACTATGAAACATTGCATTTAATTAGTTTAATGCAAAACAAAACTACATGTGAAATTTGTTTTCAAACCTTCAATAAGCTCCCCAAAGCATACAATCTGTCCTTATACATTTTTGTCTCTCTCAAGGCAATGAAAACAGCCAAGTGTTTGTGACATTTCCCTCTCTCTGTCTCTTTTTTTAGTATCTTAAAATGGTTATAAAATGTAGATAACAAAGTCTGCCACCGTAGCCATATATGAGTGCTTGTTCCCATGTTCACACTTGCACGGCAGTTCCAGTGCCCAGTGCTGTGCAACCTTCACTGCCATCTGTCCCCAGAGCTCACTGGGACATTCTTATCACCATCAATGGGAGACAGACAAAATCCTCAGTGTGTTTCTAATGATAAAAATTCAGTTTTAATTCACAGAGCAGAACACTTAAAAAGTGTGTATCTTGCTATACATTAATCATACTTCAGTAACACCGATTACAAACAGTAAAGAGAATACAGTGGCAGAAGAGGCTGGTGACAGTTGGAACCCAGACCACAGAGGGGCAGGCGACGGGACTGAGAATGGGCATTTCATCAGAAGGCACAGGGAGCCTGCGAAGTGGCTGCAGAGAGCAGCAGCATCATCACTCTTTCATTGCCAGCATTTTCAACCACCTCCATTCCAGACGCTGTGTCAGACACTGAAATTGATCAGATATATGTTTCGGAGATAGTATCCTAGCTACAATAGAGATGGTCAAGGAACTGAAACTGCGGTTTTTATAATCAACCAGGGAAACAGTAGTAAACTAAGGCAGTTGCAGGGAAGATGGAGGCAAAGGTTGCAGTATTTTCAGTTTTATCTATTACTAGAGCCAACATGAAACCATGTATTGCATCATTTTGTTCCTATTTTTTAAATCACTTGAACCAATACTTTGGCTTGAATTTTATGTGGCACACTCAACAAGCATTAAATAAGATTTGCCAGCAACAAATAACTTGTATAAATAAAAATACATAAGCATGTGTTATATTCAAGGTATTGCGGTAAAAACGGCCTAATGAGATCAATATCATTTGGTTGGAATATTTATGGGCTAGTGAGAAAGCTGTTTTCCACAAGGCTTTTGGGGGTTGAAACTGGAAATAAGTAGAAGGTTTATCAGTGCAGGGAATGGCTGAATAGATTGCAGGAAATCCCCCTGTGAAATGGCATGCCCTTGGTCTATACATAGTAACTGGGAATGGTTTCCAGAATACACTGTCAGGTGAAATGAATTGCAGAAGGCACTGCACAGCATGACATTTATCTAAAATCCTTGCTTTGTTTGTATGCAAAAATATCTCCATACCTACAGAGAAAAAGGTCAGGACAGATAATATGGAAGGAGGTTTGGAGGTGAGAGGGGAGGGAACTTTCAGTTTGTGTTCCGTACAGCAACATGAGTACATCCATGTGTTCCTTATACAGAAAAATCCACTTTCATAGGTTAGTATACCAAGTGAGTAGATTGCATTACAACACAGGCTCACAGCTCTTCCCTACAATCTTTATTGGCAACTCAAGTCATATAAGATCCTCATAATAGCTAAAGCCATAAAAGGTGTGTGCACATCACACTTTTCTTTTATTTGCCAAATTGCCTTTAGACTACATTTTAAAATGATTAGTAATTATATATCTTAGAGGGCATTTGAGATGAGGACATATTGGCTATTGTAAAGAATCTCTCCTTGAGTTACAAGAAAACCATTTAAGATAAGTAATGTGTTTAATTTATTCTCACTTAAGTAATTAATTATAAGGGTTACTTTTACAACAAAAATGTATTCTTTGCAAATAGGCAAATCAACTTACAATAATCTTGGATCTTATAGTTCACAACACACTAAAATGGCATGTAAATAGTACTTTCCTATTTTTAAAATTGTATTTGAAGTGCACGTTGATGCCAAGGAAGTAATTTTGCAATGGCAGGCTCTGCCTGAGTCAGTGCTGTAACCATATGGGCTCGGTCAAGGATTTTGCTTTCTTGGTTTTCAAATTAATATCCCCAAGAAATACTAAATAGAAAATTGGGCATGGAGTGGTGGAGACTTCCACATTTTCTTTAACATTATAAGGAATGTTTAAAAGGCTGTTTACAAAAGCCCACTTAACAACTGCTGCTCAGCTATGATTGAAATATTAATGTGAGGCACGCATGTGGCACTTTCAGGGCCTCCTTCCAAATAGAATTGTTTAGACAGACTAAAACCGCACTCTTCTCAGACTCAGCCCACTCGAAGTAAAATAAAAACATACATAAATAAATAAATAACACCAGCAGTGTAACGACTAGTAGGTGTAAATGACTAAGAAGGGGACAATCGGAAAAGTGGAAGCTCTGGGAGCTCCATACAGCACGTCTTGATAAGAAGTCTAGACTATCTGTAATTTGTTGATTGTGAAACAAACCAGGTTATTAAGAAACTGTGAAAGCCAACAGCTACAGGAGCACAAAATGCTGGGAATCCTGGGATAGCATGAAGGAATGGGGATTCCAATAACCCTTCACACCATCATCCATGACTCTGAGTGACACTGCGGACTGACTCCTACCACAGATACAAAAAATGTGGGAGCAGGAGGGGGACAAACATCTTTAAATCCCAAAAGGGAATTGTCAAAACAGAAGAGAGAAACCACAAAAGCTTTTACAGCAACCTCTACAAGTTCCTACCCAGAGTGAACTGAGTTGACTATATACAATGCAAGACCCAGCAGACAAATTATGAATAATTTTCAAAATTATTGATTTTAACCTCACTATACTGAATAAAATGTCAATTATGTCACCAAATCTCTTAAGCCTCTGCTACATATGTTCTTCCTGGGGAAATAACACTTAGGCAGATGGAACGCCTCTCACCAAAACGTCAAATGAGGAAGAACGGGTCAGTTTCAGGACTTGAAGCAGATCTCTTTTGATTACTTGGAATATTCGTTAAGAATCAGGGCTACTCACCAGCCCACAAGGGGCTTTTGTGTGAACTAGAAGAGGCATCCTCTCTGCAAGTACACACGTCTTGGTGAATAGGCTGGCCCCTGTGCAACTTAGAAAAATGCATTGCTGCTTCCAGTTGGGCTCTGGGCAGCTGAAGAGATGAATGAAGCAGCGCACGTTATGTTTCTGCTTCATTTACTCTTTTGGCCGGGCTGTCTTGAGCCATGAACAAGCTGCACAACTTGGGGAAATCACTCTATAGTAGTTGAGATACCAGATGTGTGACATGAACTTATATGTTTGACCTCAACGACTGAATAAGAAAGATTAGACAACCTGGTAAAGACGTAGTTAGTTACAGCTACCTTAGCAAGGCAGTTGTAATTAATAGTTATTTGAACTGAGTATTGTCAGAGTTTACACCAGAAAAAGTTGATTTCTGCCTTGGTTATTATTTTTACTAACAGTCAAGAAATCAGACATAAAATAACCCATAGAATGAGACATTAAAACACCATAAACAGTTAACATTGCCTTCCTCCACAGACAGACATATTTGGAAATTGATTAGTCACGATGGTCTCAAAAGCCACCCCTTTATAGCAGGGCTGTAATCCCACTAATAGCAAATATAAAGTGACTTTTCTACTTCTTCCTGGGCCCACCGCTCTAGCGAGCACATTTGCTTAACTGGTAACTGAATTAGCATCTCGGAAAATTGTCTGACAACAGAATATGAACTCACTGGAATATTGTCAATGACCTTACTGGCTTACTCTCCACTGTTCCCTCATTCCCACACCCTTCCCATGTAAGTACCAGTGTCCAAGTATCCCAGAAGCAGTGAATGGATGCTCAGAAAACTTGCAGAGTTCATGAGAAGTAAGGCAGAAATCGGGCCAACTCGCCCCATTCATTCCAGGAAAGAAACGCGCGACTGGGTTGCCTAGCAACACCTCAGTGGTTCACCTGGTGAGGTGTGGGTCTCTGCCACAAGGATCTGACCTCTCTGGAAGGAATGTCAGTGTCTGCAAGATTCTACCTCAGCCAAGGATACAGAGGAAGAGGCAGGGCAAAGAGGAACACAGGAGGAGAACTAGGGAGGAAGGCATGGTGGGTAGGGAAGAAAGGCTGCAGATGCCTGCTCCAGTCATCCAGCATGACAATCTAGACCAGGATGGCGAACCCAGCTTCAGGGGAGCTTACATGTGACCCAGGTTATAGAAAGTCACAGCAGCATCTTTAATTTTACATGAACAAAATTCCTCCTTGAAATGACTCTAAATACCTCAAGATATCCTCTGAAAATATCTTTCTCTTCAAGGAAAAAAAAATGCCCCTTCTTACCTCGATAATATACAGGACCACGTTCTTATAGAAGCAGTACAAGATGCATTTGGTCACCCGGTTGTAGCTCCAGGCTCCATGAACCAAGAGAAGCTTCTCTAAATAGGAAAACTGAAAAAGGAAAATTACAAAGTTCAGAAGAGCACGTCATTGAGGAATAAAAGTCCCAAACAGAATGTCCTTAAGATCAGAAGTCAGATAATGTAGGTAGAGGAAACCAGATTCTGCAGGAATCTCAGAAAGACATTCTCTGAAGACAGAGCTTTCAGGCCCAGTGAGAACAATTAAAATCCTCTCTTAACTCGACATAATTATTGCTCTACAAACATACTGCTGAACTTCTAATTATCATTCTCACAAAATCCTATTTAAACAAATGCTTTTTTGTAATTTATTTTAAGTTCCAGGATACACGTGCAGGATGTGCAGGTTTGTTATGTAAGTAAACGTGTGCCATGGTGGTTTGCTGCAGCTATCAACCCGTCACCTAAGTTTTAGGGTCCAGATACTTTAGCTATTTATTCTGACAGTCTCCCTCCCCCCACCTCCCCAACTGGCCCCAGTGTGTGTTGTTCCCCTCCCTGTGTCCATGTGCTCTCATTGTTCGGCTACTACTCATAAGGGAGGACATGTGGGGTTTGATTTTCTGTTCCTGTGTTAGTTTGCCAAGGATAATGGCTTCCAGCTCCATCCATGTCTCTGCAAAGGACATAATCTTGTTTCTTTTTATGGCTGCATAGTATTCCATGGTGTATATGTACTGCATTTTCTTTTCCAGTTTATCATTGATGGGCATTTGGGTTGATTCCATGTCTTTGCTATTGTGAGTAGTGCTGCAATAGGGATGAATTACTAAACAAGGTGAACTCCTAAACTGAAAGAAAAGCACAGTGGGAGTCAGACGCCTCTAAGCAATCACACATTTTTCAGTGACGAAAGGAGCAAGGGACAGGGACACTCACACAACAGTGTTTTGTTTAAAAAAGAAAGTACACACAGGTGCACACACACTACTTCCACTAACAGCTGCATAGGTTAAAAAGTTACACACACATATAGACACACAAGGATATATACACAGAGATACACAGAGATACATACAGGCACAGATAAACACACACAGGCAGACACGCACACCTAGACACAGAGACAGTGGCATACAAGACAGAGATACACAGAGACACACATGCACTCATACACACATACTCATACAAATACACATGTACACATAGACATACTAAGACACACACACACTTTGCCTCCACTTCTTAACCAATTTTGTTTTCCCCCTTTTTTCTCCAACCAGTACAGAGCACCTCTGGCCAGAGTGCTATGCAGTCAGGAGCTGCTGGTAGGTCCCCAGCTGGGAGTGATGTGATGGCTCCTGTGGTTTGAGTTGGAGGCATAGATATTCCAGTAAATCTAAGAATACTACTTGGGGAGGGGGTCTCTGGACACCACTCCGATTCTAGCTCCTCAGCCACCCCTCAGCCTGGCTTTGCCTTCTGTGTGCCATTTTGTAAAGGTCCCAAAAAGCGTAAACCTTGCGCTGGAGGGAGGGTAACGAGTTTCTTTGGTCTGGTGCATGGTGTCCTGCTCTGGCATGAATACGCCATTGGGGGCAATCCTGTTTACAACACATTTCTACACATTTGATATGTTTCACGCTGGATTTGACTTCCGCCTCTGTTCCCTTGCATGAAAACCTGAATGCTCCCTGTTCTGAGAGTGTCAGGAAGTCCACAAACTTGAACCCCATTACACTACTAGGAGAGACAAGCAGGCTCTATTGAGAATGCCCCAGAACATCAGAAATCTTTTGCTGTTGTACACTTCCTATTAATTTCAGATGAGTTTTGAAATTAAATGTAACTCAGCTGGGTACAGTGGCTCACACCTGTAATTCCAGCACTTTGGGAGGCTGAGGCGGGCAGATCATCTGAGGTCAGGAGTTTGAGAGCAGCCTGGCCAACCCTGTCTCTATTAAAAATACAAAAAATTAGCCAGGTGTGGTGGCATGTGCCTGTAATCCCAGTTACTTGGTAGGCTGAGGCAGGAGAATCGCTAGAACCTGGGAGGTGGAGGTGAGCGAGATCATGCCACTGCATTCCAGCCTGGGCGACAGAGTGAGACTCTGTCTAAAAAGAAAGAAAAAAAAAGAAGGAGAGAGGAGGGGAGGGGAGGGGAGAGGAGAGGAGGAAAGAAATGAAATGTAACTCTCAATAGAAAAGAAATGACCAGACTGAAAATACAATACTTAAAAAAAAAAAATTTCAGGAGGAAGTCGCAGCTCAGAGTGTCCTTCCAGGAGGCGAGGGGCGGGCGTGGGGCTCACCACGCACTCAGAATCGAAATCTTTGCTTCAAAATGACAGAAGTAGGTGCACATGGAAAAATAAAACTCCCCATAAAGGCTCATTAAGGATTCCAAAGGAGAATGGGGAATCATAAAATAACTAGCTAAACAAATAAAAAGGAAGTTTGTATTTGACCGGGCCCCCGTGATGTTAAACTTCAGTGGGCACAGAAAACATCTGCTTGAGTCATCCTGAATGCCTCAACTTGAGCGCTACAGTGATTTTTTTTCAGAAAAATAAAATGTATATTCTAAATCAAAATGCTGTCTTCATAAGGTTGCTCCAAAAACATTAAGAGGGCAGGGGGGTGGGGGGCGGGCAGGAATGATTCTCATGAGGAGAATGGGAAGCTGAAACCTGCAGGATCACCATGACGGAGCAGCGGCGAGGTTGCTCAGACAAGGCAGCGGAAAAAGGATGGTGCTCAGTCTCGGGCAGCCCTGGGCACAAAAGCACGAGGCAGGGCAGGGAAGAAATAGAACCAGAGCTTTGCCTGCTTCATAGCTTTCCCAAGATAAGTCTTTGAGCTAAATATCTTTTTCCTTTTGAGAATAACAACTCTACAGGATACTTCCTCCAAAGCGTAATTAAAAAAAAAATGCATCCACATTAAAATGAACAGATAAAGCCCAAGGTGATAAACAACCAGAGATGTTTACTGTTTCAACAGTGGCAAAGAAATTCATCAAGCTGTGGCATTTCTGGCACGGTGATTAAGGTAGAGGCAGCATGTTGGTTTGTGGAAAGGGTGTGAAGTTAGCAGGCACCTGCCCTGGTGTAACAGCACCCCCGCCTAATTGGGAACAGAACTATGGACAGGAGAAATGAGGGTGCACAGCCACATGTGGGCTGCATCAGTTTCTTTGCCGGAAGTAACTATGATGCTGTAGGGGCAAGAAAACCCCCAGTGGCATTTTAAAGCCTCGCTCCCTGCTCCACCCTTCTTTGATGCTTTTCATCTGAAGAGAGCAATTGCTGTGGATAACACATTCTATTCATATGCAGTTTCAATAAAGCAGGCCATGGGATCTCCCTTCCCTAGACAATTTTAAAGAAAAAGACAGACAAATATTTGCCTGGAACTCCTAGGAAACCTCTTAAGATCCCTTCCAGCCATATGATGTTATAACTCAAGTATTTAATAATGCTGGGGTGTGTAACATCTATGGTTGCTGACAGACTACAGGAAGTGCGAGTCCCACAGGCCTCAAAGCATTTGATTCAGGAAAGTAAACAGGCAGGTGTGTGGGGGGCCAGCCCCAAAGTTCACACTCAGGTCCGTTGTTTTCCGACCCCAAGATGCTCGCTTGCTTGGACCTGAAGTAAGTCACCTGATACGAAGGAACCCAGTTTGCCCACCTATAAAATCAGGATTCCTTCTTTTACCTACTTCAGAAATTATCTTGAGGATTTATTTGAAATCAGCAAAGAAATAAGATTGATTGCACGCCCTTTTCAGAGCCAGGAGGATTTTGTAATTCCTCCCTACATCTGCAGAACTGCAAGCTGAGAAGAAACCTGAGAGGTTATCTAACACAGAGCCCCCTCTTTGGGGAGGTGGAGCCCCAGAGCTGCAAAGGACTGGCCTGAAGCCCTGGGGCTATAGGAAGCTCATTCACATTTTATATGCAGCCCCTGATTTCAGCTTGAAGGATTGTATAGCCATTATTCCTTGTGTTCACGTTATTAAGGTGAACACATTTTTCAAACACCTCAACACCACAGAAACACAAGAGAATTCCTGCTACCCAGCAGATGAGCAGGCATTTAGTCATGGCATATCACAGTGTGGAGACAGAGGGACATGCCTTGCATTCACTGTGATATCTAGGTTTTCTGGATGACCCAGCATGCCAAATCATCTAGATATGTAACCGCCCAAGGAGTTCACCTTGCCTGCTGCCTAGACAGGGCCAACTCATCAAGACAGGGGAATTGCAATAGAGAAAGAATAATTCACGCAGAGCCAGCTGTGAGGGAGACTGGAGTTTTATTATTACTCAAATCAGTCTCCCGAGCATTCAGAGAGCAGAGTGTTTAAGGATAACTTGGTGGGTGAGGGGAAGCCAGTGAGCCAGGAGTACTGATTGGTCAGGGATGAAATCATAGGGAGTCAAAGCTCAGTCAGTTCCTGGGTGGCGGGGAGCCACAAGATTAGTTGAGCCAGTTTACTGATCTGGGTGGTGCTGGCTGATCCATCAAGTGCAGGGTCTGAAAAATAGCTGAAGCACTGATCTTAGGAGCAGTTTAGGAGGGTCAGAATCTCGTAGCCTCAAGCTGCATGACTCCTAAGCCACCATTTCTAATCTTGTGGCTAATGTTAGTCTAGTACCCAGGCAAGGAGGAGGTCTGCTTGAGAGAGGACTGTTACTGTCTTTGTTTAAACTAGAAACTAAAAGTTTCTCTAAGTTAGTTCCAGGAATGAACAAGGACAGCTTGGAGGTTAGACATAAGATAGAATTGGTTAAGTTAGATTTCTTCCACTGTCTCAGTCATAATTTTGCAAAGGTGTTTTCGTATATGCACCCTACAAGTCAGGAAGCTGGTTATCTTTCTTCACCTTTGGGCTATCATTATGGAATGAATCTTTCTTTCATCCTCAGGCCACCAGTGCAATACAGCACAACAGGAGCCCCGGCATGCAACGCTCGGATCAGAGGGGAAGAGACTGAGCTTGGCCTAACTGCAGGAGGCTGTTTGCTACTGACCATGGGGTCATTACAGCCCCAACCCAGCTCATGTTCTTGGCAATTTACCTCACAGGGGTGGTTCTGGGCAGCACCCAATCACAATTACAGAGAAGGAGGCAGCTGTAAATCACTGCTTCTCCCTGACCTTAAGCGCCTGACCAGAGGCTGTCCCAGCACCTTTGGGAGGGGTGAGACCGGGATGGAATTATACAGAAAGGCTGTCATGAGCACAGCTGTGCTTCAGCAGGGGATGCAGCAGGAAAAGCAATGCAGCAGATACAGAAGCTGAGGGTGAGAGGTTATAGTAGCAAGATCAGGGACCTATCTGTCAGGAGCAGCACCTTGCCTGGATCACAGAGCAGTTTGGCCGACCCCACAGCTGGCTAAAGAAATCCAACCAGCAGGACAGGGCCTCCAAACTACACAAGATCATGACTACAGAGAAATCCAAATATCCCTGGGGTTTCATTTAGACAGCAACCTCCAGAGGGGTGGCAGAAGTTTGGGGCTGCGCTGAAGGTCAAATGCCAGGTCCTCATGCCCAGCTATCATGTGTCAACAGGACGGGACAGCTGGATGTTCAAGCTGCTGACCTGTGCGATGGCGTAATCCGAGTTGTTGGTGGCCTGCATGCCTTCATTCCCACTGATTCCCACACCCACGTGGGCTGTCTGGATCATCCCGACATCATTGGCGCCGTCTCCAATGGCAAGGGTGATGGCCTTTACCCGCTTCTTCACCACATCCACTATCTCAGACTTCTGCAGAGGAGAAACTCTGTGAGAAAAGAGAGGGAAATCAGAACTATGCACGTCTTTCCAGAGGAAACAGCTATAATCTACATTCCACTGCATTAAAAGGACAGTTACTTCATGGTCTCCAAATTCAATGCATACATTTTATGCTCACGTGCAAAGAAGCTTTCAGAACACAGTAGCCTGTGGCTTTCAAGTATTTGCCAACTTCTCAGATGAAATACACAACAGAAAACTAACTTAAAACACAGCCTATCTGTGATCACCCTGCTCGGCGAGAGGCATCTGCACCAACTCCTCAGGGGTACATGTGCCCTGTTGAATGATAAAGGCAGTCAGGCTAGTTACAGGGGTCTTCGGAAATGTCTTTCCAATAAATCAGAAACAAGCAGAGACCTCCTTTTGCTTTATGGTACATCCATATACAACCTAGGGCTGGCAAGGGAATTTTCTGCAAAATCTGCTTTCACAGAAGGAAAAGGAAATTTGCAGGGCATGAGAAAGTGTAGAAAGAGGACTGGGGAAAGAGGAAAGAAAAAAGACTTCTCTACGCCCACCCCAGAAAAGGAAGCTGTGTTTCAAGGACAGCCAAGGCAGAGGATTTGGGATGGAAGTCAACGGGTAGAAGTCTCCCTTTGCTCAGCCACGCAGAAGCACAGCCCAAAAGGGGGCGAGAAGGTCAGCCCTTGCATAGCAGGAGAATCAAAGATGGCAGGCAAGCTTTCCTAAGTCCTCAAGTTGTCTGGGGAAAGGACAGTACAAATCTGTGGGGTCTAAAGCAGAGGGGTATTCATGATAATGAAGTGCTTATTCAGAGTGTAAGACCAGAAAACACAGCAGCATGAAGCAAAGAGCAGCATCCCAGCATCTCGCGACTGACGGACTCCACATTCTGAATTGGTAAGCCAATGCTTGATTTGGGGAATTTACAGGTAAACTCATGAATCATTTAAACACCACCCCCCCACACACAGAGTAAACACAAAGTAAAAGATTTTTCTGGATTTCCCAGAGGTCTACTGGCCACACCCACATATGGACTTCACTCATCAGCTAGAATGAATACTCAAAGATTTGCCCAGTAAGAACGTCATCGCGCACAAAGACACCTGTTCCAAACAGAAAACCTAAGTGCTACCTGACACCTCATTTTACCAACTTGAGAAAGAAATGCATTTGGTGAGACAGCAAACCAAATGTAGAACAGTGTAAAAGGCCTTTGCTCGGTGACAAAGATAAAAACTAGAAAGTTAGAAAAACATAATGAAAGGACTTTAGGAGCCGGTTTGTACAATCTGAACTCCCTTTTACCATTTTCACAAGGGTTTGCAATGGCAGCAATTAGATGCCTGCTGGAGTAGGTGCAACCACTGCACATTATTATAAATTTTGTTGTTACTGAGCATATTTAAGAATACTAACTCTTGCCAGGCATGGTGGCTCACACTCCAGCACTTTGGGAGGCCGAGGCGGCTGGATCACAAGGCCAAGAGATCGAGACCATCCTGATCAACATGGTGAAGCCCCATCTCTACTAAAAATACAAAAAAATTAGCTGGGCATGGTGGCGCACACCTGTAATCCCAGCTACTCAGGAGGCTGAGGCAGGAGAATTGCCTGAACCCAGGAGGCGGAGGTTATGGTGAACTGAGATCGTGCCATTGCACGCCAGCCTGGGTAACAAGAGCGAAACTCTGTCTCCAAAAAAAAAAAAAAATTAACTCTGTCATTTGGGGCTAGAACAGGAAAAGTGTAACTTCTCTTACAAATATTTGGAATGCTGAAATATAAAGACATAGTTGTCTTTATATTATATATATATGTCACATCCTTCCTCCCAAAGCTCTGTTGCTGCTCACTACATATTCTCAGGTTCTTCAACCATTATTTAATAGGCATGTTTCAGAGCTTGCAAAATAGCCTCCAAGTATATTCTTTTAGCCAACTGAAAGCAGAATAGGACAGAATCACCATCTCCCTGGTAGCAGATGCAAGATTCACTTTAACGTGGCCTAAAAGAAAGTTACTTGAACTTTACCACTGATTATCAATAAAGCCTCTAGTCAACTCCACAGAAGCATTTTTAACATGAAGGGATATTAAGCTGTATCTAGTCCCTCCTAGTTTGTGCAAGTGCTACTTGAAGCTACGGGCTGCTCTTTTAGGCAGAGGCAGTCCACAGCTGTAATTGGCTACACAAAAGTGATTTCTCATTTTATTTTTGAACTCCACAGAACCACAGAACAAATATGGCTGAACAAAACAACCTGGGAGGCACAGTTAAAGGCCTGAGTCTGACCTTTTCCTGTGTACCACACCTTAACCATTTAAGCAGGGAAAGGAGGTCCATGAGACCCTGCTTTTCATGAGTGGAATCGGGGAAATGAGAACCAGCCACCTCATGGGATGCTTGTGTTAAATATAGGGAACTCCAAGTTTCTCTTCAAAGAATCAGTATGACAGTGTGTTCAGCTCTCTTATTCTTTTTTTTTCACTGTTTTTTTTTGAAATGGAGTTTCGCTCTCGTTACCCAGGCTGGAGTGCAATGGCGCAATCTCGGCTCACCGCAACTTCCGCCTCCTGGGTTCAGGCAATTCTCCTGCCTCTGCCTCCCGAGTAGCCGGGATTACAGGCATACACCACCATGCCCAGCTAATTTTTTGTATTTTTAGTAGAGACAGGGTTTCACCATATTGACCAGGATGGTCTCGATCTCTTGACCTTGTGATCCACCCGCCTCGGCCTCCCAAAGTGCTGGGATTACAGGCTTGAGCCACCGTGCCCTGCCCTCTTGTTCTTTAATTCACCATTTTAAAGCTTAACTTCCTGGTTCTCTTCACCCCCTTGCCTCTAGTTTCAGTAAACAACTTTCCCACTAGTCCTAATCAGTAGTTCACATCTGTTCCCCTGGTCACCTGCTTTGACCTGAGTCACCCCTCGTCACCTGCTCTGACCTGTTCCTTCCTGCCAAACTACCTACCCCACCATGCCAGCTCATACCCCTGCTCTCTTTAAAATAGCCAATCATATTTAGTTTAGACTGTGCGGTGCAACCCTAGCTGCTAGGGGAACAACACAGCAGTAGCAGCTACCTGTGTCAGGAATACGAACCCATTCCCCTCCCTTGTCCAGGTGTGCACTGGCCATTGCTCTGTCTGTGAGATGCACCCTTCTATAGAAGTAAGTTGCCTTGCTGAGGAAATTTATACTCGAGTGCTACTTTTGTGGCACCAAAAATGTACATATAACAGTTGTGATGTATTAATGTGAAACCAGTGTGTTGATTAGCAAGTATAAAGCAATTGTATCTCTTAGTACACCTTGCCCATGATATGTGAAATATCTTAACTGTTGGAAAAACAAAGCAAAATAAAACAAGACCGGACACCTCTGAGAACTGCATGCCATCAGACTTGTGGTTCCCAGCTGGGTATGCAGGTGCCCTGGGGATTAAAAGGTGGCTGGTTCTCATTTCCCCGGTCCACTCATGAAAAGCAGAGGCTCATGGACTTCCTTTCCCTGCTTAAATGGTTAAGGTGTGGTACACAGGAAAAGGTCATACTCAGGCCTTTAACTGAGCCTCCAAGGTTGCTTTCTCCAGCCATATTTGGTCTGTGGTTCTGTGGAGTTCAAAAATAAAATGAGAAATCACTTTTGTGTAGCCAATTACAGCTGTGGACTGCTGCTGCAGCAGAAGTTTTTAATTTTTGAGGGAAATACAGCAGCAACTCTCAGGTAACAGTGCAAAATACTAGCTGGAAGTAGCTCACAGTTTCGACAATAAATCACACTGCACCCCTTTTCATGATATGTCTTAAAGAAGCTGAGCTCTCGTGGTGGTGATGATAAAATGCAAATGCCTTGTGAAAATCAATGTGGAATAGAAAATGAGCAAGGCAGCAGCTATGCTTACCCTAAGGTTTGAGAAGTCATGCAGCACTAACAGGCACATCACCACATGCCACTGTCAACAGTAATGATTATTTAATGATGGAGGAAATAAGGATTATTTCTTTCAGTGTATGTCTTTCAATGACATTATCGTTTCATATGTCTGCTAAGTTGTTGGGTCATAAATACTTCTTATATTATTTGACTTTACCTCCTTAATAATTAGAAACTTAAGTTTTCCTTTTGGTCTAAGGGCTGTGCAAAGGAATTGCTGAGACACTGAGGACATAGTGGATCCAGAGTCTGGATTCCTGTGATTGATTACATTAATCACTTTTTAATCAAAATTATTCACTCATTGAGGCAGAACCTCACTAAGGAGGCCATTGCTTAATCTGCAAACTCCTCTTCTGCAGCCATGAAAGTATCACAAGAGAGCATAAAACAGAAAGTTAAACAGGACTCGGCAAGCCTGAGGCTACGACTCCTTGAGTCCATACGTCACCCAAGTGATCAAGCAAGCTGGCCTCTTCATCAGCAAATGTGAGGTGGTCTGGAGAGAAAGGAAGCCCACAGGCAGAAGCGTTGGCCATTTCACACTGCAGGGGTTGGAATATCACGGGAGTGGAACAGGAAAGGATCTAAACAGACCTGGAGTTTTCTTTGAGGTTAAAGTTGTTGGCTTTCTATTAGGGAGGTTAGTGATAGGTCAACCAATGGGAAATGAAGAGCAAGTCAAATAGATTCACTGGGCTTGCCACTCTGGGATGTGGATCTCAAGTAAGTCAAGACAGGATTCCAGTGGCTTAAAGTACAATCTATGAACATTCAGCAGCTGCCTTTCCCAAGAAGCAAAAATAAGGAGAAAACCCAAGCAGGGTATATAAAGCAAATCATACCACAGTGTTTTAGAGCATGAAGTTCTCATCAAGGATTTATTATGCCCTCAGCTATAATGCTTTGAGAAAACATAATTCTAGCACACACTAGGGGTTCAAAACAGATGTCCAACAGCTAATTTCTACAAAACTGAAGAAGCGCCACTCATCTTTAGCCATATGCAGTATTTTAGTGTACTAAGTTGCCAGGAAGCACAAGCTGGCTCTTTGTTAATCTTAGCTTGTAACTTGG